CTCACTCTATAGGCCGGGAGCCAGCGCTGTCCAGAGACACTTCCGGGTCACGTGGCCAGCGTGACAAGCTGCATCTGGCGAGCCAGCGCAGCACACGGAAACGCCGTTTACCTTCCCGCTGGTAAGCGGTCCCTATTTATCTACTTGCACCCGAAGGTGCTTTCGAACTGCTAGGTTGGCAGGCGCTGGGACCGAACGACGGGAGCGCACCCCGCCGCGGGGATTCGAACCGCCGACCTTTCGATCGGCAAGTCCTAGGCACTGAGGCTTTAACCCACAACGCCACCCGCGTCCCATCATACTATATATGCCTTAAATGTTTGATAATTGCCTTTCATCTCCGTAACACAAAGAAATCCAAAAATACACAGTGGAAAACCAAACCAAAATAAAATCTTCATCACAGCATCTGTCTGCATCATTGCCACAAATGATATTGGAAGTTTAAATAATTCAGAGCAGCGCACTTGCTATCTTTGCCACATCTTTGAGGGCATATATTATTCCTGAAGCGCAACCAAAACAAGAGTAATACGTTTTTGCTATTTCCATACAGAGAGCCTATTTCAGTTAAAAAGGGGAGACGTTTGAGTTAACAAATTATTTTCCTTTCAGGAGAAGAGGATTTAAGACATTAAGCCCTGTTCACAGCTAGTTAGGACAGTATTAATGGTTCCTACAGATTTGTGTTTTAAAAATCAAGCCAAGCCAATTTTATCACAATCATTCCTCTTGCTCTTCACAGGGATGTTGATGAGCTCAGCTTTAAGTTGTACTCACTTTCTGCTGAAGCCAAGCCAGCTACTTCTGAGGCCTAAGTGTGAAACCAATGTCTTTAAAAGCTGCTAAACCATCCCAGCCATAAGGATGATCCAAGATGAAGCAATGAGGCTCTGCTAGATAAACCTCTATAGAAACCAAATGTTTGCTTTCTACTTGCTCGATAGACATTTACATATAATTTATAATCCTTGTAATATAAACCAAACATAAGAGAATAGAATAGAATAGAATAGAATGATCGATACGATACGATAATATAGGACCACATGAGCTTGCCATCATCTGAAGGGCAGGACCTTTGCCCATGGTGGTACCAAAACTATGAAATTCCCACCCTTGGGATGCTCACTTTTCCAAAAAGTGTTTGGGATTTGGATGGCTATTACGTAACACACTTCCTCTGCTGATTGGTTTTATTTAGTGCAAATGCCCTAAACTACAGTGCTCTAGTAACCATGTGACCAAGCCTAGCAAGCGCCTTGTATGCCAACCAGTTTTGTACCACAAGCGAGGCTGATGCCACTGTACCACCTGAATGGAAGGGTATCTATAAATGCCTAGGATCTTTAGGAAAATGTCATCGAAAGAGCTGCCTGGGGCTCAGAACACAAACTGCAAAGCACAGCAACAGGGTCAGTTACAGCTGTATGAAGTAGTTCCTACAGCCTTCTGAAGCAGTGGGATTTCAAGTAAAGAAAGTTGTTATTATAGTAAGTCCGAGGATTGCTTCGGAAGCCAAAATTGCATATAGTCAAAACACATTGGGTTCAATGGTGGGTGAGATTGACAAAGTCTTTTTACCTGCATGCCCACACCCCTTTCCTGTTTTTAATTTTTTTCTTGCCAAGTGTGTAAAGCTGAATGTGCAGAAGTTAAATATGCATAAGTTGCTGTATTTAAAAACAACAAAAAATGTTATAAATAAATTGGTATCCAGCTGGCCTCTTATATAGCTTACAGCTTAATTTTTCATTCTTTATGTGATATTTACAGAAGGGATAAAGAGGGATTCAAAATCCTCAAAACACAGTTCTAACTAAAATCTATTATCTTGCCATATCACTTGATACAATTAACCAAAGGTAAAATGAAATGTAAAGTTGTAGAAGCCAGACAGTGTAAGGACGGTATTGCAACAACTTCTCTCCCTACAAAGAAATGATTTTGTAGGGTTGAGATTATTGAAGAGAAAATAGACAAACACTGTATGGATGATTCAAGCCAAGGACACAAATCGCCATCAATTAACAATCTGCAACAAGGCTTTTCGTTACATACCAAGGTTACTTTTATAAAACATATAAACACATTTTTTCTGAGCTGTCCTAGACGAGGTAATCCTTAAGAACTTAATACTCTTAAATGCAATTAGAACAATTTCCTGTCTCCCATTCTCAGTTCAAGCTGGAGACGGTACAGAAAAGGACAAGTAAATGATGAAGCTGTTTACTTCCTTAAGAGTTAAGCCTAACAATACGGCAAAAGTGGAGGAAAATTTCTCTTTCATAGCAACAGGTATTTAGGGTCAACCAATGAAGCAGATCAGCAGTAAACTGGGGACTGACAAAAGAAAGTAATTCTTCACACAGTCTTTAATTAACTTAAGGAACTGACTATCACATGATGGAATACCATCACCACAATTTCAAATAACTTTTTTAATCTGTGGAGGCAGACAGCCATTTATATAGACCTATGAGTGCCTTTTCAACTCCTTCATATCTGCTTGTTACCTTCCATTGGTGTCAGGTTAATCACAGCTGAAAGCAATGTCTCACCAGAGTTCCAGAATCACATAGACTAGGCTTCCTTAACCTCGGCCCTCCAGATGTTTTTGGCCTACAACTCCCATGATCCCTAGCTAGCAGGACCAGTGGTCAGGGATGTTGGGAGTTGCAATCTCAAAACATCTGGAAGGCCGAGTTTGAGGAAGCCTGACAGAGACTCAAGTGTGAAGGTTCCCCTATCTGAGATACCCACACAAATGCATGGATGCTGTGGGCAGGAAAAATCATGCAACATCAGGGCAGGGTCACCAACATAACTTCCTTTCTATACATTTTGCACTGTCAATGTGAGCAATGCATGATGGGGGTCGAAAACCAAAGGGGTATCTAGTTTGATCCTCAGTGTTCCCATGAAAACCAGAAGCTGTCCACATTAGTTAGTACTCATTTGTCAATAAACCTGGTCAACCTTTAAAGAACCGGGATACAAGATGGGTTGAAGGATTGAAAGCCCTCTTCTGTGCCCAATAAGCATGAGATGCCTTTGCCTGGCTGCGCTGTAGCCCATGGATTACAGCAAAATACTGGGCATGGTTTTCCCAATACAGTGGTGCCCCGCAAGACGAATGCCTCGCAAGACGAAAAACTCGCTAGACGAAAGGGTTTTCCGTTTTTTGAGTCGTTCCGCAAGATGAATTTCCCTATGGGCTTGCTTCGCAAGACGAAACGTCTTGCGAGTTCTTGCAAGTTTGTTTCCTTTTTCTTAAAGCCGCTAAGCCGCTAATAGCCGCTAAGCCGCTAATAGCTGTGCTTCGCAAGACGAAAAAACCGCAAGACGAAGAGACTCGCGGAACGGATTAATTTCGTCTTGCGAGGCACCACTGTATCTTCTCTGTGTGATGGGCTCATGGGAAAAAGCTGTCCCATAAGCACTTGCTGAAGAGGGGAGAGTAAACCCTATATAAGACTGCTTCCCCTGGAGCTCACAGCTTTGAGAGCTTCCTGCCCACCCACCCTTGGGTGAGAGCAATTTTGGGTCACTGGTTGACAGGGCTGGAAATGATTGCCCACTCTCCTCAACCTGATAGGCACTTGGTTTCCCCTCAGTGAAATTATGGCTTTCCGTTGTGAGGCGGACGAACATTGTTTTGCATGATGGCAGAAATGGCATTGGGCAGGGTCAACATAGTATAGGGAGGCCCCCATAAGGGGCCCGAGGGGAAGACTGAACATGGTAAACGCAAACGTGGCTTCAGTATTTGCCTGGTTGGAATCTGCACCCTGGTTCCCCGGTGAGACCTTGCTTGCTTGGCTTGCAAGGTTCAACACTGGTCGACTTCCATGGTATAAGTTTGGAGTGATCCAAACCCAGCTAATCCATTTCATCAACATAGGGCTTGTGGAATGATGAACTGATCCTGGGATCCAATGCCATGCCAACCCTTGCCCTGCCTGCTGCTGTCAATAAAGAATTGGCCTGATTTTATCCCCTCACCATTGTACAGTCTGGTTATTTTGCTGCTCTCATGGGTCACATAATTCGCCTGCCTAGGCAAATAAATGCTTGTTCTTTATTTCTTCCAGAATGAACAGAAACCAGTTCACTTTGTATAAGAAGGTTTGTTGTTTTTAAAAGAAAGATGCTGGCTCTCCAAGTTTTAGTCCGAGAAAGCCTGTAAGAGCCTGTTTCCAGCATATGGGTGGGTAGGAAAGTCAGTTGATACAATCCTTCATATCTGGTGGAAGTATTCCAACACTGAGTCTTACCCAGACAACATGTGCACCTGCTTCAGAAGCTCTGCAGGTTTCCTAGGTTAATAATACATTATACAGGTGGTACAGTTGCAACTGAGAAGTCATAGGGCATGGGGCCCACTCAATATTGTCAAATGCTTCTATGAAGCAGTGCACACACAATGTAGACTACTTTAAACTACACCAGGAAGAGTGGATTTCATACAAGGTGCCTGGTATAATATAAAACACATATTTGCTGTGGCAGATGTGAAGTGCTTTACAGACCTCTAGATCTGTTCAACATGAATATGTCCTCATTTTTTTAGCTCACAGTAATTTTTTGAGAATCTATACCCCACCCCCATTTAACTTCTAGTCATCTGAGATCAATGTCACCAAAGCCAAGTGCTTATTTATCCAAATAATCCATTGTCTGAAAACTGTGTTTAGTCCACTGACACTGGAACACAAATTTCAGAATATGTCAATATTACTCACTAGACACCAGCATTCACCAGTGGCTGCTACTTTGGCAGACTGGGTATTTGTAGTTTTCACACCAGGAGTGTTGCATAATATCAAATTACGCCAAGATGATCACACTTTCTAAACATTAGAGCTGGGGAGCCACGCTTCCAAATATTAACATAAAAGCATAACTTGTGGAATGGTAATGACATAAAGGAAAGCACTCCACCAACTCATGAACAATGAGAAAGGAGTAGCCATAAGAAAATACTAGCTGATACTTACTTGGCTTGGCATTAACAGCAATATTCTCAGAGGAATGTTGGGGAGGGAATCTGCAATTTTCATCTTGACCTTCATTGCTCCCATACTCTATAACGTCCACATGCCCAAGGGGAACACTCCATTTTAGTAAGTATCTTTCGCCAGTCACAATGCCACTGTTTTCATGGGAAGAACTGAAAGAAGGCCACAAGAGAATAGTTTACAGTATGAGAGATGTTTTAGCAGTCATTTAAATTCCAGCAGACACTTTGAATTGCATAGATAACGCCACACTGTATACACTGCTTTTAATGTCTTGTTTTGTGCTCAAAGTTCACTTTGATTTTTGGTTATTGAGTGCACTGAAAATCTCATGAAAATGTTTTGATATATTTTCCTTTAAATTTTCCCCCCTAAAGGTGTTCCACTATTTTTAAGCTGCTTCTGGGGGGGAAAAGGTTCCAAAGGAAAAGTGATTTTCCTAATTAAAGGATAAAATGATATCATACAAAAGGAAAAGGCAGTTTTGCAGGCTTCCCTTCACTCTCCCCCTAGGACACAGTGCTTTGAGGAAACACCTTGTATAACTATTCTGAGACCTTGGTTACATATTGCTTTTATGTTTTGCAAAGATATTTACATTAGAATATGCAGGGACCGCCCAAGGCGTTATGCTGTGCAAGGCGAACCAGCAACTAGAATCCCACCCCCACCTCAAGTTTTTGTTTCTGACACCTGAGGCTGAAAATACAAGTGACTCTCTTCTTCCCTGATAATAACAATGATAATAAGTTAAGTAATTTAACTGTTTGCTACACTTCAATGACACCCAAAATCAGCTGCCTGAGGTGGCAACCTTCATTCTGCCTTATGATAGGGCTGGCCCTAAGAACAAGCATATGAATGAAGGCTGATAGATTAAATATATATGTTCATAAAAAATCCTACAAGAGGAAAAAAGCAGGCACACAGTAGAAGAGGAGCCACAACAACCCTTCATTTTTAATCATAAACACATAACAAGACTGTAAATTTTCAGATGGAAGGAGAGGAGAAAGTTGGAGAAATGATAAACCCCATTAATGATAACAGCAATCTAAACAACCTGTGGGCAGAGCTCTGTCCACTGGATGCTTTGTAGGAAGGAGGCAATTTTTGCTGGCTCCCCCTTCTTCCTACAGTCTCCTGTGCTTCTGGAAAAAGTGTGCTAGATGCTTGGAGGTGGACGACACACCCTGCAAACAACATTCAACTTGGCGATGAGAATGCAGCTTAGAAGTGGCAATCATCCCTTCTCCGCTGCTCTCCAGTAGATGTTGTTGAACCTCAGCCCCTTCCATTTGTAGAAGGGCAGTCTCGATGCAATTCAATATGCTTAAAAGTTGTGCACAACACTTTTGATGACATCTGGAGAAATCTTGGATCAGAATTGCTTGCTTAAGTTGAGAAGGTTCCTTTTTCCTTCTAGTGTTTTTAAGCTGGTGCTCAGAAACAGAGTAGGCCTGTTTTCTTCAGTATGTCAAATTCAGAGGACATGTTGCAGTTGCCATAGGAATGCAGCTGAATAGAGCTCCTCTGTGATGAGAGACCAACTCAGCCCACATTTGTAAATATGTGCCACCTACGCTCTCATGCAACCCTCTCTCTCTCTCGAGATTCCTAGCAGCACTAGATGGGGCTTGAATAATGCACTGTGACTTGTCCACTTGTTTGTGAACAATGGGAGAAACAAAAGGGGGAAGGAGCCCAACTGTGATCTGCAAAACATGGAGCAGAAAGATTTGCTGCATCATGGCCTAATTATATTATGCAAATAGTTTCTGCAATCCTCACTCCATTTGATCGGATTTGTAGGATGGGCATTGGTGACCTATTTTAAAAGATGGAATGTGTATATGTCAGGAAAATCTATGCCAGAGCTTGCAGCAGAGCTGTCCCGCATCTCCCACATTCAAAACACGGATCATTACAGTGTTAATATCTACAAACAAAAAGGTACTTTCTAATCCGCACCCACAGAAAAACCCAAACAGCTCACAGTGAGTTAGGTCTAAACAAACTCAGCATCCTTCAGAATGCTGCTGAAATGCAACACATATTATTTCCCAACAATCTGCAAGGGCTGATGAGTTTGAGTTAGAGTAAGTGGCCTCGGCCCAGTATACCTAAAGGAGTGTCTCCACCCCCATTGTTCAGCCCGGAGGCTGAGGTCCTCCTCCGAGCTTCTTCTGCTGGTTCCCTCACTGCGAGAAGCGAAGTTACAGGGAACCAGGCAGAGGGCCTTTTCGGTAGTGGTGCCCTCCCTGTGGAACACAGGGAGAAATATCTGACTTTTATTGAAAACATTTGAAGGCAGTCCTGTTAAGTTTTTAATGTTCAATATTTTATCGTTTTTTACTATCCTGCTGGGAGCTGCCCAGCAGTGGCTGGGGAAACCCAGGCAGGTGGGCGGGGTATAAATATAATAACAACAACAATCTGAAGGGCAACAGAAATCAAGGTGATTTAGGCCAGATTCTCAAGCCATCTAACTCAGCGCCATAGTTCTAGCAGATATCCCTTGATGTTGGATATTGAACAAGAGACCTTCTGCATAAAAAGCATGCACTCTCACTGACCTGGGTCCCTTCCCATATTCACAGAATCAGCAGAACAGAAAAGTCATGTGTGACAGTTACAGCAACACAGTTTCTGTTCAGCATAACTGCATCCTCTCTCTCCACATTCTCAAATATCCTTTTCAGCCCTAGGGCTGCATTGCTTCTTGGCCAGTCCACCAAGAACCACATGCAAAAGCAGTGTGTAGCCATTTCACAACCACTTACAAATTCACACACACATACACAGTCTCTCCTTTTCTACAGTGCATACTAATAGTGAATGAGTTTATAACTCTGCTCTGAGTTGACTAGAAAATCATAGATCTAACACTAACAATCTGGCTTCCAAACAAGCCAGGCACTTTTGCAGCCTGTTTTATGAATGTTTACTCAGACATAAGTATCACTGAATTAAGTTGGGGCTTACTCTCAAGTTTACCTAAGATTCACAGCTGTGAATCCTGTACTGCCACCACAGAACAGGCCACTCACTGTCAGGAGGGCTGTGCTGACAGCTCCTGAAGAAAAGCAGCTCAGCAGAGGAAAGCAGCTCAACCACCCCCAGAGCTCCAATGCTACTCCCCCCTTGCCACAATGTCAGCTACTCTTCAGGGTAAAGGTAAAGGGACCTCTGACCATTAGGGGTTGCGATGCTCATCTCGCTTTATTGGCTGAGGGAGCCGGCATACAGCTTCCGGGTCATGTGGCCAGTATGACTAAGCCACTTCTGGCGAACCAGAGCAGCACACGGAAACACCATTTACCTTCCTACCAGAGCTGTGCCTATTTATCTACTTGCACTTTGATGTGCTTTTGAACTGCTAGGTTGGCAGGAGCAGGGACCGAGCAATGGGAGCTCACCCTGTCGCAGGGATTCAAACCGCCGACCTTCTGATTGGCAAGTCCTAGGCTCTGTGGTTTAACCCACAGTGCCACCCGTGTCTCACTCTTCAGGGTACCCCACAGCTAAGCTGCAACAGGAGCAGCAACCAAGCCACTCTCCCGGCCCACCTGCCTAGAGAAGGAGGACTTGTTGCACTCTCTGTAGTTACGTATTTTGGCTACTCTTGAGAAAGGTTATGAGGGATCGTATCTCTCTGAACCACAAACATAGAGGAAGCAGAAGGCACAAAGATTTCAGAGTACCGGGATAAGGAAGTGATACCCTGCTTATGGGGTGCAGTGCCTGCAATGGCTTGCAATCGCTTTTGAGGTGCTTTTTGATATCTCCCATAGGTATTTTATTTATCTCCTCAAACCCATGGAACACCTCAACATTACAGTGATCAGTACAATTAAAAAAAAAAAAAGACAAAACAGTGCTGCCAAATTTCAGGAACTCTCCCACTCTCTGATTTAGAGAATGCAGGTAGAATCTTACCGGACATTCACAGTCGCACACATCAGTACATCATTTAACATGAAGAGTCGCCGCTCTTTGGTTTTCACGATTTCTCCTCTGTCGTTGTAAACAGTTTCCAGCATATCATCAGTTCGCACGAGGCACCTGTTCCCACTGCTGAGTAACTGGAGTTTTGCAAGAGAGAGAGGGAGGGAGAGAGAACCCCAAAGTGACTAATTCATAACACTCCTAGAAATGGGTTTTTTTTTATTTTTTGCTTTAAAAGCTTCTATGAATCAGAATCAGGCATGCACAACAGTTTTTGTAAATTTCATTAAAACCTTGGCTATGTCAATGAAAGTTCCTCAACAACTTTCCTTGAATAATCACTTTGAGAATGGGGTCAAGGGGTGGTGATTGCAATTATTACTGAGTAACAAGAATTTTGTTTTGCTATAGACACTCCCTCTAAAACAGCCTTTCTCAACCTGTGGGTCCCCAGAAGTTGTTGAACTACAACTCCCATCACCCCTAGCTAGCAAGGCCAGGGATGATGGGAGTTGTAGTCCAACAACATCTGGGGACCCACAGGTTGAGAACCGCTGCCTAAACCCTCCTTTTGCCTTTAGGTTGGCAACTCCAACTCCAGAGGCCACAGCTGTTGATTCCTACTCTGATGGGGTGTTCTTAAGGCAAAAATGATACAGCCTCAATCCAGGGGTGGAGGAAGGTGGTGCGGTGGGGGCGGGCCACCCCAGGTGTCACAACTGAAAGGAGTGACAAAATGCCAGGCGGCACTCACCACGGGGCCTGCAGTGTGCCCGAGCCACGCATCTCTCCTGGGAGTGACACGGTGGCTTGGGTGCCCACAGGCTCCGCACTGCCCCCAAAGGTCCTCCCGCCACCTCCCCCTCAGCTGTAGGGCAGCTGAGTGGGAGGAGGCAGGCAGACTCCTTGGAGGCCCCACGGAGCGTCCTGCCCCAGCTCATCCTGCCCCGCAGGTGGCTGGCCCCGCCCCTGGTCACGGGGCACACGTGCCACCCCAGGCGACCGATTGGCTTGCTCCGCTGCTGGCTCAATCCAGCCTTAGAATATGTTTTAGCATTTGAATGGAGACAGACATAGTATAAAAGAAGGGCTCATAGCACTGCACACTCATCAACACAAACCAATCCACCAGTCTGACTCCTCCTGCTTGTTCCATTATTTTCTACTTAATGGAAACATTGTTGTTGTTGTTGTTGTTGTTGTTAGTAGTAGTAGTAGTGGTATATAACAGTGTTTCCCAACCTTGTGCCTCCAGCTGTTTTTGAACTACAACTCCCATCATCCCTGACTAGCAAGACCAGTGGCAAGGGATGATGGGAATTGTAGTCCAAAAACAGCTGGAGGCACAAGGTTGGGAAACACTGGTATATAACAACAACAACAACAACAGCTTAAATTTAACAAATAAATTTAAAAATTAAAATTATTAGTCGCTTGTTTGCCATGGAAATTCAAAGTAGCATTCAATATTTTAAGCAAAAAGCTAACACATACATTTAAACCAGCAAAAACAAAAACAAAATCTACAGGCCTGATTAAAAAAGAATGTTTTTCCCTTTGTTTAAATCTTTCCCAATGGGGTAAGTGGGACTTAGAAGAAGTGCTTATTTTTTTGGTGTGTTCATGTCATGCCCACTTATTTCATACTAGTTTCAGACTCCATTAAAAAAAAAGAGGAAAAATTGCCTTTGAAACATATATCCTACACAACATGGCGGGGGGGGGGAGGTTAAAAGGTACTGGATGGAGTTGTGTTTTCCAGTTTGCTTGAAACAGAAATACATTTGTGCGAAGTATGTGTTGAAGGTATGGGGAAGGATAAAGACCAAAAAAGTTATTGACCTTGGTTGGTAAACATCTCCACCACAATTGCTACCCCAAACCGCATGGTACGTTTTAGAAGATGGCTTGTCAGCATCACAGTGCTACTGAACCAAACACATGACCTCAAAATGCCATTTTCCAGCACAGGAAGGGGGGAAAAATAGACACCCACACTCTCAGTGTGGAAGGCATCTGGTCTGTCTGATATCTACTTCCTCTACAAGAGAAATCAGGAAGAAGCAAAAGGATGGCTGTTCCAACCTTGTTCAGATAACGCTCATTCATGGCTTTTGCGATTTGTTTTATTTCGCAGCGCTGATCTGCATCCCTTTTCCTTTCGTTTAATTTCTCTGCCAACGTTTCAAGCTCTGTGAGGGCCATCTGTAGAGGCAGTCTGTCAGGGTGGCCTTTAGTCGTGTTCTTCAACATATCCTTAAAAGACCCCCCCAAAAAACCCCAAATTATTATGGTTACTATTTCAGCACAAGTCAAGATTTTTTTTTCATGATCTCAGGATACCCAAGCAGTAATGTCAAGCCTTTCCCCCCCATCATAATCTCTAAAGTACACCTATTGCATGTGCCTGAGAATATGGTTGGCATGTCAAGAAAGATGCACACACAGAAATGCTCCCAGTACCCCAGATTTGACAAAGCTCCATCCACATCCAGGTTGTTAAAGCCTGAGATGTCTTCTTACGACTCTTCTTCACATGGAGGGGTGAGGCAAGGGCCATATTTTAACCGGATGATAGTTTCCTATCAATCGCTCATTAATCCATTTAAACCTATTTCTATGTTGTGGGCTGTACATTACATTCGAATATACAGGCACAGTTGCATGTGCAACACTAAGCCATGCAAATGAGCGAACATGCAGTCTCCTCAGAACAAAGATTGTGGCTGCTGTGCTCCCCCTGTCCTGCTCTTGCCCCACAATACTGATACTTTGGGTGCAAAATATCAGCATCTATGTATTGCATAAGGGAAAAAAAAGAGGAAGTGTTATCAATGGTTCCAGTCCATCAGATCATCACCTGATAGATTCTGTACTGTTGGGCAACTTCTATACTTCCGTGGAAAGTTTTATGTTCCACAGGATATTTTGCAACATGACCCTACTAAATTCCATGTAGTCATGGCTCTATAATAAAAGGTGACCAACTAAGCAGTATCTTCTTCACAGACATGGAGTTCATATGGCTGAGGCATTAGGAGGCTAAAGGTAAAGGGACCCCTGACCATTAGGTCCAGTCGTGGGCGACTCTGAGGTTGCAGTGCTCATCTCGCTTTATTGGCTGAGGGAGCTGGCGTACAGCTTCCGGGTCATGTGGCCAGCATGACTAAGCCGCTTCTGGCGAACCAGAGCAGCGCACGGAAACGCCGTTTACCTTCCCGCCAGAGCAGTACCTATTTATATACTTGCACTTTAACGTGCTTTCGAACTGCTAGGTTGGCAGGAGCAGGGACCGAGCCACGGGTGCTCACCCCGTCGCAAGGATTCGAACCGCCAACCTTCTGATCTGCAAGTCCTAGGCTCTGTGGTTTAACCCACAGCACCACCCACATCCCATTTAGGAGGCTAGCAGGAGGTTATTGATGCCAGCAGCGGAAGCGGGGGAGGACTGAGGAAGAAAAGCTTATGAAACTATATACTACAAGTAGGATCTGCAGCAATATGTTGCACTGAGGAGGTGTTCAGCCATTTGACTTCCATCCCATCTTGCCCTGCCCCCTCCAATTTTCCTGAAGAGTCCATTTGGCACTGGTGATATATTATGGGTATGCCAGATTGCAATATTATTCTTATGAATAGGTACATTGCATAATTGCTTCTCGAGCTCAGAACCGGATATGGAACAGCATACAAAACAAAGCAGATGGAAAATTCAAAGTGCTCATGAAAACCATTTGCATTTATTTGTATATGAAATTGGGTAATACTTGTACCATTTATTGATGAAAACATACACAGTCTCATGGGCTTCAAAAATACAACTGCATAGTACATTACATGCTAGAAATGTGCATTTAATTTTTACTTAGAATTAGCCAAATAACCTTGAGCTGTAACCAATGAACAGTGCATGCAAGTACTTTGAATGATCAGACTACACTTACCTGTAGCAGTAGGATGAACTGAGGAAAGCGTTGTATGGGTTTCATCATTAAGCCATAGAGTGTAATTCTATCAGGACTAGATTCTTGGCATTGCTGTAATGAGAAAGGGTCAAGTCTTTCTTTATATCAACCACATTTTTTTTAAGAACAGAGGTAAAAGTTGTATTCACATGTAATGTAAAGATAAAGGATCTCTGGATGGTTAAGTCTTGTCAAAGGCGACTATGGGGTTGCGGTGCTCATCTCGCTTTCAGGCCGAGGGACCCGGTGTTTGTCCACAGGCAGCTTTTCCAGGTCATGTGGCCAGCATTAACTAAACCACTTCTGGCACAGCGGAACATCGTGATGGAAAACAGGGCATTCACCTTCCCACCGCAGCAGTACCTATTTATCTACTTGTACTGGTGTGCTTTCGAACTGCTAGGTTGGCAGCAGCTGCGACAGAGCAATGGGAGCTCACCCCATCACGGGGATTCAAACCACCAACGTTCTGATCGGCAAGCCCAAGAGGCTCAATTAGGCAAATTAGCCAGTGCATAAGCTATGTACAGCTTTTGCTCCTCTCTTCCTAGAGTAGGGAAATAAATAAAGGAGTGGGTAGTTTTGTGTCACTTGCCATTTGTTTCTCACAAGCGAATCACGATTGGGAAGCAAAGCTTCTGATTGTGGTTTATTTGGAGGCAATGGTAAACCAACCATTCCCTGGTTTGTTTCTCAACTCAGGGGGTGGGGAGGACTGCTCAAGGTGACTGCACTAGCATGCAACCCATGCTCTGTCCAATGTAGCCAACTATGGTTTTTTGGTCAGCATTATGTGCTCATGTGGCCACTGTGTGCCCATTTTTACATTGTGCTTGGCCAAAAAGTAGATTTCTACAAGTGGAGACCCGCGACAAAATGTTGCAGCATGGAGTTCTCAAGTTCAAGATTCTAGCTATTCTGTTCCATTCCCCCTCCATGGTTTCACCTCACACTGTTAGCAAGCAATTTGTACCCTGTGAGTGTGCTCAGGCATTGCATGGCTGTTTGGAAGGTTACCCCTGAAAGCCTTTTCTTAAGGAGTTTATGTTTTTCTGCGAACCTTGGAGCTCCCCTGGGCATGCTCCCTCTTGTATGTGAAAAGTACAATTTTGGCTACACAAACAATGGTACTTACAGCCTGAGCTTTAGACATAGAAAGGATAATACAGTGGTACCTCGGGTTAAGTACTTAATTCGTTCCGGAGGTCCGTTCTTAACCTGAAACTGTTCTTAACCTGAGGTCTGTAACCAGAGGTACCACTGTAGTTCACTAAGCAATACTGCATAGATGGCTGTAAATATTTTACCATTACTTATGACCAGAAGGTCGTGTATCCATAGAATTCAATTAATTGAGTCCAAAATCTGAACACTGGTTATTCATAATTGCCTTGACAACCCATGAAACCAAACTACCAAAAATGAAGCCACAGAGTCAGATCCTTCCCTCAGTTTGTGATCTCCTATTTGCCCCACCTACTTCAGAATTTAAAAAGCCCAATACACTCACCTTTAAAAATTCAAGGAAGGCAGGTTTAGTGGCACACGTTTTCTTGAGAATCCCCACAGCAGTGCTAAAATTATTTACATATTCGCTGTAAGCATCCAGCACCATAGATTTAGAAAACTGAAATACATAAAAAAAAGAGTAAAGTCGGAAATCTTTTAGCTCCTTCGCATTATCTACGTCAGAGCACCAAGCTTTAATCGCTTCGCCATAGTTCAGCAACCAGCCTCTTAATTCAGCACTTAAGACTCACAGAAGTTATATGGCAGTTAAATCCAGATTATACTGTACTTAAGGACTTTGACAATTCAAGAACATAGTTTTGGGGAGGGGGAGGAAGTAGTTTGATCTCAGTCCAAACATTCCTAAATTCCACCCATCTTCAGCAACTCAAAAACTATGCAGTAAACTAACAAACGTGTTGAAAAGCCAAAGAGGTCTGGTCAGTGCCTGGAGGGGAAACTGCCTGGGAACACTATGCACATGACTTTTGAGTTCCACGACAAAAAGTGGGATGAAAATGTAAATGTAAATATTGTTGGCATTTGTCTCAGGAGACCATGGGAGGAGTGTGCCTTTGGGGATGAAGTCAATCTGTTGGAAGGTTACAGCGTCTGCTGTGGCCATAGAGACTGATATGGGGGAGACATGTTTTGTTGCAGCTGGGGCAGATGAAGGCATCCAGTTGGGCTCATGTAGGTGTATCATGACATTTCCTCTTTCTGCGCTCCTCGCAGCAGTCATTCCTCCTCTGATCACTGCTATGGATGCGCAACTTGTCTGTCTGTCTCCAGGCACCGCAGTCGTCTGCAAGGGATTCCCACACAGTGGGGTCCATGTTGCCAGTCTTCATGTCATATGTTTGCAGACAACTTTGTAAAACAGAGTTGGCCTGCCAAGTGGTCTGGTGCCTGAAGCTATCTCCCTGTAGAGCACATCCTTGGAGATCCTGCCATCTTCCATTCTGTGCACATAACCAAGCCAGCATCATGTCACGTCGTTTTTTCAAAAGGTAGAAACCTATGCCGTGAATGCTGTATTTTTCACTCTGTAAGATGCAACCAACCATAAGACGCACCTAGTTTTAGAGGAGAACAAGAAAAAAAAATATTCTCTCCCTCTTTGCGCAGTGCCTCTCCAGCAAAGCGGGAGGAGAAATGGAAGGGGCTCTGTTTCTCCTGCCGCTTCACTGAAGGGGCGCTGCGCAGAGAGGGAAAGATGCACAGCACCTCTCCGGTGAAGCGAAGTCAGAACAGCAAGATGGATCCCTCTCGCTCTCCTGGCTTCAGCGAAAGCAACAGAAAGCCTCCGGAGTCTTTGTGCACCGATCCCTCTCACTCTCCTGGCTTCAGGGATAGCTGCGCAGCCTGCATTCACTCCACAAGACGCACACACATTTCCCCTTACTTTTTATGAGGGAAAAAGTGTGTCTTATAGAGCGAAAATACGGCGCGTGGTTCTTCTGGGTGCACTCCTTGCCAGAAAAGAGGTGAGCTTTATATCCCTGTGGGTTCTTCGTATCACATTTCAGTCCATGCCAAGAATAACTCACTTCCCACTTACCTAACTGGCGGCAACAGCAGTAGTTGTGACAGCAATTATATCTTTCTGGAGATTTCCCAAGCTACTAAGCTGGCACCTGCTGATATAACTACTAAAGCAGCACCCCAAATATAATGGAGCTGGGTTAATCTGTTTCCCTTCCCCCTAGGGTATCTGAGTCCTTTGTATGGACATGCAGGGAAAGCTGCATTTCTTAGGGCAGGGATAGCTAGCATGATGCCCTCTAGAAGTTGTTGGTCTACAAATCCCATCATCCCTTCCTACTGGCTATGCTAGCAGGGGCTGATGGGAGTTGGAGTCCAATAATAGGACACCAGATTGGATATCGCTCCCCTAGTGTCTCTGACATGCTGCAGCTACATACCAGAAGGTTCGAGGCAAGGACTTTCCATCTGTTGCCACTGCTAAGCAACTGAAAAGCAGGCGACAAGCCAGGCTATGTGGGAACACAGGCAGGGGCTAGTGGGCAACATGTTTTGACCTTCTTATGGTCTGGTTATCACGGGGGCGATGAGGATCTGCACTGAGCTTGGCACAACCAGAGCTGTTTTCTAATTTTGTTGCCAAGCTCAGTCTTAGATCAAACAGGCAACAGCAGTGGGGCAAGTTTGGCCACTTATATAACTGTGATGGTTTACGTACCGATGCAACGAAGACATCTCCAATCATCTCAACAGAATCCCACTCAGAGACACGACTGGCCAGTGCTATTTGAAACATTGAATGGCACTGAAGAATCTCCTTAATTCGGTAAAACACCATCTTCAGTTTCCTCTCGCTCAATAATTTGGGTTCCATTTCTGAAAGAGGCTTCTCGTACTGCTGTTTTGTTTTTTTTAAAAAGGATAAAGTAGTTAGAGCCATAATTCAAATAAAGGTTTTTCATTATAAGTAAACACAGCAGCAGCAATCAATTACACATTTGCGACAACTTATTTCTAGCAAAAGAATGATCCATTTGCTTTCAAAGTTATAAAAGGGCAAAAGGCATTGAGATACCTCTAGAATCCTTTTGAGAGCATCCACGTAATTTTTCTCACTGTCAACCACGGCTCCTAAAATATATCTTCTCACCACCTGTACAACAAAAAACACACACGCAAGGAATCACACACTGAGAACTGGGGTTAAGGAATACTTCCAAATCTGCTCTGGAAGGTTGGGGGACCAGATTTGGAGGAGTGCAAGAGAAGTAGTTCCATTGCACTTGCACGAGTTGATGAACTTGTGCAATAACTTATTTGGATACAGCACTATATTTCACGCAACCTTCCGCTCCCTTCTTGCTTGCAGTCAGAATCGCCTGATGGTCGCCTTAACCAAAAGCAATCTACTGCTGCAGTCCCACATACATAGCTAACTAGATCTGCTACTTTGCTGAATTACAGCTTGTTCTCTCTGCATGGAAGAGGGCAGATGGCGGCGTCAAAGATTCAGAACAGGTGGTGGTACCTATTTTAATTACCTTTTTGAATACAAAAGGATGGGTTCCTTGTGTATTCTTGTGTATACACAATGATGGGGATAACCTTACAAGGCATCCCCAAATACAGATATGTTATATGAGCACAAACCTCACTTCACCTGACTGGTAACAAAACAAAAACAAACCAGCACACCTCATATACTGTGTGCAAAAACTAAATCAGCCAAAGAAAATACACACACACACTCCACTCATAAGTATAATTATATCAGCATGTCCAAATATTCTTAACTGTTTAAACGTACACAGAAGATCAAAACCGAGTTTATTTTATTACTATATTTGTGTCCATTTTCCAATAGACAGAAGAACAGGCGTATATCTGGACTAAAAGGTTCCCCTCCCTGACTTACAGGCAATGGGTGCCAAAGTTGCAGAAACAGGCTGCATCCTTTATTTCTTTATTCAAGCTCCTTGAATTATTTTGTTTATTTTTATTTAAGAGAAGCAGCAATCAACATTGCTGCAATGTTTTTGTGGATTCTTTAGGCTGCTAAATGTCCTCTTTTCTTCCAGGACATGTCCTCTTTTTCATGGGTAGAGTCGTCATAGTGACCCATAGTTGAACTTTTGCTCTTCAAAATATGGCACCCCTTGTTGCCTTGGTTGTAGAGTACAACCAAGGCAAATGCCTGAGTTGCTTGATCAGTTTTTTAACCAACTAAATCATACTCTGAAATCAATACACATGACTACCTTAATTCCGTTTATTTCAATGAGTGTTCTCCAAGAGTGACTTAAGCTGGGTACAATATTTTGAGTTCACTATGATTATCTTTTTACTGCGTACCATGACCAATATGAACGGGAAACAAGTAAGGCATCTCACATTATTTTTAAGTTCAAAAAAACCAGTATTGGTTCATCAAAGGACTAAAAACGATAAGAACCAAAATGATTAAGTGATCTAGCATTTATAGCCTTGGTAATCCGCAAAGTGCAATGACTGGTGATTAAAAAAGGAAACAGGAATCCTATTATGCCACCCTGTGGCAAGCAGTAGTATGTGCAGGTTTAAATACATTTCCCCCAAAATTGCTACCAAGCAGTGGAGCAATGATGGGAAATCTGGTTCCGCCCAGATGTTGCAAGACTCCCTCCAGCCCCAGCCAGCATGGAAAACAGTCGGAGACGATGGGAACTGAGGTGCATCATCTGGAAGACCAAAGGTTAGCCACATCCAAAGTAAAAGCTTATACACAACTACCTTGCTCACCTACGGTAAGTATAGATTGAATCAAGTGAAGCTTCACAAAAGTTTTTTAAGCCAGAAATGCCTAACACACATATGAGTAGGTAAGCAAGGTGGCCTGTGAAGATTTGTTGTTGTGGTTTTGGCAAATAATTCTACAATATGTGGAGCCTCAATAGCTTTATAGGGCAAGTTATTTATGAAACCAATTTTGGCTTTCCTGTTTTTTTGAACACACTTTTGCAGTACACTATCACAGGAAATCAGCATACAGAATGTAGTAAGAATATTAACATGCTGCCTGCAAATAACTGAATAGAATCAGTCATCACGATTTATGCAATAAAGGTATATTTTTCATTTTCTCCTCCAAAAAACCCTTCACTTAGGGGTGTTAACATGCTTGCATTTGAACCAACTTGGTTTTCACCCTCAGTTTTGTAATGAGCAAATACTGCACAACTCATTCTACAAAGGACACAGAAAGAGGGTTCAGTTTCAACAGCCATCACACAAACCTGTTGTTGCGATAATCCATCGGGCATCGGTGTCATGATTGCCTCTGTATGCATACAGTCTACATCGATAAACAGTTCCTCTTCTTCTAGGCAGGTTGATCTATGGTCTATAGAAATATTTTAATATGCTAGATTTCCTTCACATATATATTACAGATGCAGGCAATAAAAACACGTATTATTTGGATGAGATTAACTGTAACATCTCTGCATTTGCTTCAGTATTATTTCATGCAATGAAGACGTCTTCTGAATAACCATCCATAATGAAAGACTTGTAGCTCAAAAAGACACTGGATGTCCAGAAAGTCCATCACAGTGTGCATTCAGAAGAACCATTCGCCCACGACCACACAGTAAGCATAGTTAAGTAACATCCTGGCCCTTGCCCCAAGTTGGACTCGAGACTGATTTAACACTTACCTAAAAGAGGAGCGTTAAAAAAGGTAAAGGTAAAGGACCCCTGATAGTTAAGTCCAGTCGCAGACGACTCTGGGGTTGCGGCGCTCATCTCACTTTACAGGCCAAGGGAGCCGGCGTTTGTCCACAGACAGTTTTTTGGGTCCTGTGGCCAGCATGACTACGCCGCTTCTGGCGAAACCAGAGCAGTGCATGGAACTGCCGTTTACCTTCCCGCCGGAGCAGTACCTATTTATCTACTTGCACATTTTGGCGTGCTTTTGACCTGCTAGGTTGGCAGGAGCTGGGACCGAGCAACGGGAGCTCACCCCATCATGGGGATTCAAACCGCCGATCTTCTGATCAGCAAGCCCAAGAGGCTCAGTGGTTTAGACCACAGTACCACCCACGTCCCCTGATTATCTAAAAGAGCGCAGAACATTTCCCTTGACTATTCATATGTAACCTCTCTTTGTCGTTGTTTCGTACTTTCTTCTTTCTCAATACACAAGAACAACTGCGTAAGAAGATGTAGCAAGTTATACAAACAGTGTGGCTTCAAAGTCAACAGGGCTATTTAGGTGACACCAGATCAATATCTACATTACTTGGCTTACAAATGAATCCAATTTATTTGCACAGATGCAGGCTGTACATCAGGGATCGGGAACCTCAGACCCACAACCCTGGTCCTCCTGGACTACTTTCGCTTGGCTGGAATGTGCTACTCTGAGAATGCCTTTTGCTTGTCTAGATGGAGAATAGAAAGCTAGTTAGGCTTCGTGTGTGTGAACTTCTGAATATTGTGTGTGTGTGTGTCCCATCTCTTCACTCTGTGCCTGTCCCCTTTAACCCTGGCCCTGCCCACGAGTGGCACAAAGTGGCCCCACAATGAAGTGAAACACTCAGGATGAGAAAGGATGATCATACACCTTTTTTAAAAAAAGAAAAGAAAGAGTCAATACGCACCATGACTAATAAATGACTTCGTTCTAATGAAAGACCGGCCTTTCTTCACAGCCGCTTTCGTTTTTTCTAGTCCATCTTTGGTTCCTTCCCTAGCTGCCCTCATTAGCTTTTGCATCTGCAAGACAGTATTAAACACATTCTACAAGTTCAGTGAAGAGTAAGTGTGGAATTCAATGGCTTGTTAACATTTGCAGCAGGTACTAGGGCATGCAAATAGTTGCTCTTAAAAAGAACACTGTCAAGTTATGGAGGCCAAAGCCCTTTCTAGGTGTGTGTTGTTGTTGTTTTAATAAAAAAAACCCACAACCCAGATAATCTATACTTTATGGATTTGCTGTGGAAGCATACGTATATTCATCCATACAATAAATGTATGATGCTTATTACTTAATAGAACCTGAATAAATTAAATAAAGTTTCTAATAAGTTAAAAATGTGATGCCTTTTTCTGAGCACACAGCTCCCTCGGTATCAAGACACGAAAGCTACCAGCATAAATTTAAAGACACACTCAAAATAAATGTATTGCGGAATTGTAAGACTGTGTTCCTAAAATGCTTTTAATGACTAACTCCATACTGTCTGGGGTGAAGGCAGGACATCATGATGAACAAGCAAGCATAAATTAATATGACCCATTTCCTGCTTTACAGACCCATTGAAATCAACAGATCTGTATTAGTCATGGCTGTTAATTGCAGCGGGCATACTCTGAGTAAAAGTTAGTTGAATACAACCCGGTTTCCCTCCCTTTGTGGCAAACTATTTTCTTCCTGCCCTCAATAACAAGGATAAAATAATGTTGTATAATAGCAGTGCTGACATAAGCAGTTACATTATTTTAACCTAAAAAGGTAGAGCAAGCAATCCCATTTATTTCATCTTCAAAAATCCAAAAGGGCTAAGACCTATATGATCTTGTTGGGAGCAACAACCACTACAGCTGTCTTTATAGACACAATGATACATCCATATGGATCAGACTGCAACAGCGGAAGCTAAACAAACAAAACAAAAAAATCAATATGGGCAATAACTTTTGCCTTTCACTTTTTAAGTGTTATAAGCAGTTGGGCAAAGGCAAGTTAGATGGCATAAAAGTCCTTGACAATGTTCTTTTAAGGCCAGTGGGCAGTGCAGACAGCACAGTTTGAACACATACTGTCCAGTTTTCCCCATCAGCTTCTGTTTATTAAAACACATGTTCATTGTGTTTCGAAGAACAATAATTTTAACATTTTAGCTTGTTACGAAAATCAGCTACGCTACCTTCAGCTCATGTTTTTGCTTTAGTTGCTGAATCTCTACAGCTCCCACCGTGTTTGCCATCAAATCTTTCATCTTTTTCTCATAGTGCTCCTTTAAACGGGTTAGGTCATGAGAAAGCTATAGCATACAAAAAGATACAATCTTAAACTTTACTCTAAAGCGCTTGAGCTGTAGCATGCATGCTGGCAGCCAGATAAGAAAGGGATTTGCAACCAGTAGAAGGGAAATCTAGCTTTTGTTTTCAGCAGTACGTACTAAAAAAACAACAACTCAGCAATGGGTTTGTTTCCAAGTTTGCTGTCAAGACAACTTTTCTGACTGGGTAGAACACAGAATCGTCTGAACCAATACAATGACGCTAGGTTAAAGAACGACAGCAGTCCTTTGTACATTATTGTGAATACCGTAATTTTAAAAGTATGTGATGATTATAAATATCATTGTTTTTTAAAATTAAAAATTGCCCAGTAGCACCTTAGAGACCAAAGTTTGTTCTGGGTATAAGCTTTTGTGTGCGTGCACACTTTTAAAAATTTTGCACTTAAAAGCAGGTCTCATGATTTTAAGTGCAGCTTTAAGGAAATCACCCTTACTTTTAAGAAATCCCCAGTCTTCCATGTCTAGGTCTGGAAACTACCATTTATAAAGTGAGGTTTCCCCTTACTACATGCTTGGCAAAGAAAACTTAGTTTTAGATTTTTACAATCATAGGGTGGAAAGAAACATGTGCACCTTACATGTCTTATAAATACAAGCCACATTTCTTAAACAACACAGCTTAATGAATGCTAGTAGAGTTCTTTGTATCTATAAAAGACAAATAGCTTACTTTAAAATTCCATTTGTATGCATTTATTAACTTCCTTTCTTGTCTTACTATGCCTGGATATTTGTCATCTCTCGTTTTTAGATTACTACCTATGTGGTTTGAAATCAAATGCATGAGAAAAAATGGACATCATAAAGCTTGGGGAAACTACGGTGTTTGGAAGCATGTCAACAATGCGCTACAAAAAATGCTACCAAAGAAAGTTACATACTTGTCTTCTGTGGTTGCCACGCAGAAAAGAACTGGGCATTCCATTCTTACACTCTGAATCGCTTTGCTCTTCATAGCTTTCAAACTCACTCGAACTCCACCCATATTCTAGAGAGCTATTTCCACCTTCATCTCCATTTTCAACATCATCGTAAATCATCTCCTCTGCATGCATTAATACACAAAATATAATTTTGTTAAGCTATGGAGAAGTTCAAATTCATTACCAGTTCTATGAGCCTGCACCTGCACTTTTCAATGCAGGATTAAAGAATTAGTAAAAGGTTAAGAAATCAACACATCTATTATCATGCCACAAAAGGCAGAGTTTGCATTCTGTCTTGGAATATCTTTCAGAGTATAGGTTCTAGAGCAGCAATGGGAGACCTCAGGTCCTATAGCGTTGGGCATAAAGGAGATACATCATTATATTACTCCATGTTCGTGGAAACTCATACCCTTTATTTAAACTATATCCCAGGAATGAATAAATTTATGTTGTCTTGTCTTATTTACACACTTAATTCCTTGTGCAAAGTCTGGCTTTACAATTCACTTCTATTACTTTAAGCGAATAATTCCTTATCTAAAGGAAAGTCTACATCTTTCTTTGATAGATCAGATGGTAAAGGTTGGAGGTGCCCAGATAATCGTTGTGAGAAAACCACTGACTTTGGTCCAATTGCTGAATACACTTAATAGTGTGCCTTTCCCACAGTTAGCAAGTACAGGTGTCATACGTCTGGCCATGCATATAATTTGCGATTTCAGGGGGGGAAACGTAGCTTTGCTTAAATGCAAAAATCAAGTTATGGTATTGCATAGTGTGCCAAGGAATTATTCACAGGCATATGCACCTCCTTTTCGTATGCCTCCTGTTTTTGTTTTTGTTGTTGTTGCTGTAGATAATAATAATAATAATAATAATAATAATATACCACCCTTCATACGAAGATCACAGGGTGGTTGGCAAATTTTATAAAATTACAGGTTTATTAAATTTATAGCTTTGCACTAAAAAGGTTCTCAAGCAATTTACAACCAAAGTAAAAATATATAAATAAATAAAATCACATAAGAAGCATTACGGAATTTTAGAAGCAGTCACCTTTAATATCATAATATGCAACAACATTTGGATTGCAAGTACTCTAAAAAGCAGGCTAAATTTCCTGGCTAAAAGTGACCCAGAACAAATGTAATGTGTTGCCCATAGATATAAAGAGATATAGAAGGAAGCTGAGATATGCAATAACATTTCTGGAAAACGATTATGGAAAACAAGAAATGGTACATGAATACAGAGGCACACACAAAAATAGGCTGAGACAAAATGGGAGTCAGTTTCTACAAACACTTCACATATAAGCCCTCTTTCAGTAATTTTTTTTTGGGGGGGGGGAATAAATCAAAGGAGATGAAAATATATTCTCATTCCATCATTGTATTACTTAGCCAGCCGTATTTGGTTATGTGATATCACAGGAGGCAAATATATCCACTTCAGATGGAAGGCAAAGCTTCCTGATTACATTGGCAATCATAGGGTTAGGAGGTCATTATGTTCACTATATAATCCCCGATTGGCAGGGATTACATAACAACAAAGACATGGTACTTATATACAGTATTTCAGAAGAGCCTAAAAAGAGTCAGGAAGATAAATGGAAAGGGGGTGGTTCATGGATTTTCTTGTAGAACATTCCCTGCTCCCTCTATGAATACCACCCCTGCTCTGAATAAATTCACATGTGAACTCTACATCAATCCCATTACACACATAGCCTAAAATGGCACTGACAAAACAGGAACATCCCATATATTTAACATGCAAATGTCATTTCCAGAAGGGGCAATTGGGGATGGTAAAGCATGAGTGGAGTTCTTAATTCCTTCTTTGTGTAACAATTCACTTCCCCAACTGGCTTTTTCACCCTTCATAAGGATGATCTTTAAATCTGTAAATTGAAGCCCTTTTTCAGAGTAAGTCAAGTGAGTTTCTTCATGGAGGTTGATGGGATTTCTCTTCCATAAGGCTAAATCTGGTGCCCTCCGCTGCAATATTCTATTCTATTCTAACCCTGTGAGGTTCAAGGCTAATAAGGGAGGATTTGGTGGGGGGGCGGGCAGGATGGGAAAGGATTGATCATCAGCTCCCATTAAAACTTCAGATAGTGATTTCTCCCTGTACCATTTATCAATAATTCTAAGTCTAAGCCTAGGTTTTGAATTCAAACTCATACCTGGTTCTGAGTCTGAATTTTCTCTTGGCACATCGTCATATATTACCTCATCTGGATCTGAACGCAAAAAAAAAGATGGAAAAACCACAATATATTAGACAAACACCATAGACTTTTAGCAAGACACACACAAAAATATTTGCAAAGCCCCCATTGTTCAGCCCGGACACTGAGATCCAGCGCCAAGGGCCTTCTGGCGGTCCCCTCATTGTGAGAAGTGAGGTTACAGGGAACCAGACAGAGGGCCTTCTCGGTAGTGGCACCGGCCCTGTGGAACGCCCTCCCTATCCTATCTTTAAAAGACATCTGAAGGCAGTTTTTAATATTTAATATTTAATGCTGTATTGTTTTTAACACTCGATTGGAAGCCGCCCAGAGTGGCTGGGGAAACTCAGCCAGATGGGCGGGGTATAAATAATAAATTATTATTATTATAAAGGTTAAGAAGAAATAATAGATGGTAGGGATACAAATAATAACAGTATCATCATCTGCAACATGCTTTTATATTTTCAGCACTGACTGCATATTTGTTTGTTTGTTTGTTTGCTTGCTTGCTTGCTTGCCAACCTTTCTCCCAAAGGATCCCAGGGTGGCAATATTAGCCATTATGTAATCCAGCTGTTGCCTAACTAGGTCCCAGGACCCACATGTAGTTCTTTTAACAGTCCAGTGGTGTTTCTAGCTGCCTTGAGCCCCAGTTCTGGGGGAAAGGTGGTATATAAATATAAATAAATAAATTCAACAAGGGTGTCCATGCGTTTTGCGGCTCCCTGCCTACTCCCCAAGATGGTGGAAAACTGCACCCTTCTCTGCCCTTCACAATCTCTTGTTCTGCAGACATGCTGAAGGCCAAAGAAAAGAAGCATCAGACGACATCATATAGGAAAGAGAAGAGGCATGAGCAAGAAGATGAAGGAGACTTGCTGGAGACACAGAGGGATCAACTAAAGTACTATCGTACCTTAGTTCTCAAACGCCTTGGTACTCGTACGTTTCGGCTCCCGAACGCAGCAAACCCGGAAGTAAGTGTTCCGGTTTGCAAACGTTTTTTGGAAGCTGAACACGTGACGCGGCTTCAAATTGAGTGCAGGAAGCTCTTGCAGCCAATCGAAAGCTGCGCCTTGGTTTTTGAATGTTTTCAGAAGTTGAACAGACTTCCAGAACAGATTACATTCGAGAATCAAGGTACGGCTGTACTCATTAGTCCAGGAAGTGCAGATAAGGTGTGCTGATATTAGAGATCAAATTTGTCAAGCATATATGAACTTCTTCAGACTTGCGACAGAAAAGCATGTCAAAGAAGCTGCAATTTTGTTCAATTCCCCCGAGTTTACAGAATATATTTATCCTGCTCATTTCATCTTTTTTTTTTTTTGGTCTGGCCAACATGTGCACGAGCTTGCATACCCAGTTGCTGATAACGAGGGAAATAAAATGAGATCGAATCAGATATCAGCAGTGTCTAGGATACTTGCAGAGCAACTGTATCAGAGAAATCTAACCAGCAACCTCCCCAGAAGCAGAGTAATTGTATGTTGAATTCCCAGACCGACCCTGAATAATGAAATCGGACCAGGTATCCAGAAACGAGGAAGGATTCATTCCAGACTTAAATAAAACATTCCAATTTAAACAGCTATTTGAGCGATAAACTGAGAGACACTCATTATACAGAGCAGAGAAGTTGGACCCAGTGGTCCTCCAAAGACCCATCAGCCCCAGCCACCATCGCCAATGGGAGTCGTAATCCAGCAATATTGGTGGACCACAGTTTCCCATTCCCTGATTTCTAGAGGAACCATAATCACCAGTACTTACTCTCCATCCAGTCTGTGTTTGCAGGATCAGCAGCCCATTTGGCCAAGGCATTCTCATCTTTATTCTCCCGATTATCTTCACTTTAAAATAAGCACATGCAAGTTATTAATTATAATAAATATTTCAGTTATTCACAGTGCAATACTATGTATGTTTGCTTTGTAATCTCAATGAAGTTGGGTGAAGCTTATTCATAAGGAAGGGTGTATAGAAGCTGTAATGTCTGACATTCAGGGACTTGGAATGCAGTTTAAGCCTCCAACACATTCCCCACCACCACCACCCATAAAGTAAAGGTAAAAGGTAAAGGACCCCTGGACGGTTAGGTCCAGTCAAAGGCGACTATGGGAATGCAGTGCTCATTTTGCTTTCAGGCCAAGGGAGCCGGCGTTTGTCCACAGACAACTTTGCGGGTCATGTGGCCAGCATGACTAAACCACTTCTGGCACAACGGAACGCCGTGACAGAAACCAGAGCACACAGAAATTCCGTTTACCTTCCCGCCGGAGCAGTACCTATTTATCTACTTGCACTGGCATGCTTTCAAACTGCTTGGTTGGCAGGAGCTGGGACAGAGCAACAGGAGCTCACCCCGTTGCAGGGATTCGAACCGCCTACCTTCTGATTGGCAAACCCAAGAGGTTCAGTGGTTTAGACCACAGTGCCACCTGCGTCCCTACCCACAAAGTAGTTCTGTGCAGCTGCTCTTCCTTAACATTCTTTCAGTTTGCTGCAGAATGAGAACTGGAAAGCGAGCCTGGCTTTGCTTGAAGTTTTAATTACAAAATGCAGGGGAGGAAACCTACACAGAACTAGGAGATGTTAAAAAACAAACAAACCTAAAATGTACCAAATATTGGCTCCTGTCATGATCCTAATTTGCGTGCACAGATAGTGGCTAATGCCAGCCTGTGCTGTAGTTTCTGCACTACTCCTACGAAATACTAGCTGGTGCTAAAATCCCCAGCCACTTTCCAAGTGTGCTCAGGGAGGCTCTGTGCGCATGCCAGCAAACTAGATGCTGTTAAACACAGTCACTGAAGGTGGAAGAGATTGTACAATGCTTCTTGCAGGAGAGGGGTGTTAACTGCATCCAGCTACGTAGCAGAGGCAGAGCAGCAATGCAGCAGTGGTCCAATGGTTCTAGCAAACCACATGTACTTGATCACAACGTCTGCTGGGGCCCGGAAGCTACTTCACAGCTTGCCTATCCCAGCCCCCTCCCATATCTGTAAGTGTTTCTCTCTTCCCACCATTGAGATACAGTTTGATATGGCAATCACCTATGATATGGGTGCTTTCTCATGTAATGGGCTTCAGGTGGTGATGGGTCTGTGTACAGTTCCAGCAGTGCTGTTTGCTCACAATGGAGTAGCAAGAAGATGGTTTGCAGTGCTTCAGGGCAGAAACGGAGAAAGAAACATTCTACCTAGGCAGTAGCTAGACTTTTGTGTGTGTGTGTGTGTGCGCGCGCGCGCGCGCGCGCGCTTGGGCAAAGCAGCTATTGCATCACAGATCTCAAGGGACTGAGTTGCCCTTTGCTCAAATATGGCTCTATGGATCACTGCAGTTTGTTTCCACTAGAAGCCTAAACTTAGCAATCTGGCAATGACAGCCTCGCTCAAGAAATGCTATCCCTTAATTTATCCAAAATAAATACTTTGGTTTGAAAATGACTGTCTGAGGCTCTGACAGGACAGCCACCGCCCAGAATGCTAGCATGCCGAGGAAGAAAAACATGTCATAAAGGGAGATGGCCCAAGGATGACTTAATAAATGAGTCACAGAGACGGGCAAGTAGAAGCAAAGCTGCAGGAGAGTTAAGGCTCTACAGAGCAAAGCAAGTTTGCAGAAGCATAGGGAACTGGCTTGACAGAGACAGCTGTTGTTGAAGGCAGAGGAACTGCAACAGAAACCATGCAGAGAGAATGTAGGAGTTCTGGTGGATCTGACCCAAATGTCCCCTCATGCAGCAGCCCATTTCTTACAGTGGCCAACCGGATTGCAGAACTACAGGCTTGGAAGGGACCTCAAAGTTTATCAAGCCCAAATCCTTGCCACTGCACTGGCCCCAACGTGCCTTGCTGGATGAAGCATTGCACACCAGGCTGTTCCTCAATACCCGCAAAGGAGGCCACCTGGCATCGTTGTGGCATCACATGATTGACAGGTGGGAAAGACAAACTCGGCCAGTGGGGGAGGGGAGGGGAGGAAGATAAGGACCCCCACCCCTGCTGGAGAAGTAGACAACCTGCAAAACGGAGGAATGTGGAAAGGTGTCTAAAACAAGGTGAAGGAGCTGCAAAGGAATCCATTCACTATCAGAGTCTGCCTCATCGACTGTTCTTACTGAAGGAGGCTGTTATGAAACAAACATCTCGACCCTTAAACTCAAGACAAAACAAGGGACATGGTTGCCCGCTCTTGCATTCAGCACATGCACTTTTTTTAAATAAACGCCAGTATTTTCTTCTTACCCGTTCTGGGGATCCTCTGAACTCTGAGAATTATGGCAATCTTCAGCAACTATATGAACATTTGCTAAAGGAAACAGAAGTAGTGATGATAGAATCTCTCTCAGTAACAGCCATGTTAAAAAAATACAATAGTTGTGATTGAAACACTCACACCACCGTATTTTTCGCTCTATAAGACGCACCCGACCATAAGATGCATCTAGTTTTAGAGGAGGAGAACAAGGGGGGGGGGGAAATTCTCACCCTCTCTGCTCAGCGCCTCTCCAGCAAAGCAGCTTTCCCTATCTGTACAGCACCCCTTCAGCGAAGCGGCAGGAGAAGCAGAGCCCCTTCCATTTCTCCTTGCTCTCCTGGCTTCAGGGATAGCTGTGCAGCCTGCATTCGCTTCATAAGACGCACACTCATTTCCCCTTACTTTTTAGGAGGGGAAAAGTGTGTCTTATAGAGTGAAAAATACAGTACTTTGCAAAATAAAAATTAGTCCTCTTAAATGCAACCAGCATTCTCTAGCTTGGCTTGGAGTAAAAGGTAGGAAAATAAAAAAATAGAAAAGACAAACCTGTAGAGCTGCAAACCAGACCCTATATATTATATCTTCCTTCCATAAGTTTTCTAACCTTTTCACTTTACTCCTCTTGTTAGCAAACTATTTGAACAAACACTAAAGTGATCTAACTGCAGGCTAGGGATAGATAACACTTTCTGAAATACACCGGCTGACAGATATGTTTGTGGCAACATATTTAAACTAGAAATATAAGGATTTAATGTTGTTTTTAGAATGAAAGCCAGTACTCTTCAGAGCATTAGCAGCTATATATGTCAAAGATTTACAAATTACACGCTGCTATTGTAGATTACTCTCGATGTTCAAAATAATCCTTGTAGGAACATAGGAACCTGCTTTATACTGAGCCAGAACAATGGGTCTACCTTGCTCAGTACTGTCTAAAGAAGTTGGCAGTGGCTGTCCAGGATTTCATACAAGGTTCTCTCTCTGGAGATGCAGGGGCTTAAACCTAGGACCTTTTGTATGCAAAACAGATGCTCTGTCACTAGAGATGCAGGTGGAATTCATTTCAGTTCACATTTAAAGGTAAACCTACCCAATTCACATTTTCCGAAACAGTATGCAAACCAAAACACAGCACTTCTCTGTGTTTTGCATTGCAGGTCTCCAGCCAAGTAATGTGTACTGAAGTGCATGTACTGGGATGAAGTTTTTATATACAGTGGTACCGCGGTTTAAGAACATTCCTGTTTACGAACGATTTGGTTTACGAACTCTACAAAACCGGAAGTAGTGTCCCAGTTTGCGAACTTTACCTTGGTCTAAGAACAGAATCTGAACGGTGGAAGGGCACCAGTGGGGGGAGGCCTCATTAGGGAAAGCACGCCTTAGTTTAAGAACAGTTTTGGTTTAAGAACGGACTTCCGGAACGGATTAAGTTCGTAAACCGAGGTAGCACTGTATATATAAAAGTGCATATTTCAATAAAAACACCGTTCAAAAATGCATTTTTACAGGGGAAATTGCTTTGCAAAAATGGGTATATTGAGCAAAATCACCTACAAAAATGTGCACATTAGGAGAAATTTATACCAAGATGCTGATGAGTTTGCAAGAGAACTTTAAAAAAAAAATGCAAACTAATGTGAGAATGTAGAGAACACAAGGTTGGGAAAAGGAAAAACTGAAACAGAAACTGGCGGATTCACCCATTCCATTCCCTATGTATCACTGAGCTACAGCCTTCCCTGTCAATGGAACTGATCCAGACAAATCACATCTTGGATTACAGTGAGGAACAAACAATCCACTAAGTAACCCATTGTGAAATAACCATACAGAGGCAAAGAGAAGAACAGTGATAGAAGGCTGCAAGTTCCTTCCCTCTTATTGGGTGCAGTCGCCCACAAAGTATCATCTTGGCTGTGAGTTCTGGGGGACTTGCTCCCTGTCTTGCAGGCCTTTTTCCACCTGGCCTGGGAAGGCAGGACCCTGACTGACTCCAGCTACAAAAATTGAGGCGGCTGAACAGACTCTTGGGCTGCAGTAACTTTAGTGGGGGTTGTTGAGTGTGTGTGTTGTTGCTGTTATTGATTTTTTTTGCATTTTATTTTAGATCTTGTTGTGATTTATGTTGAAACTGTTCAATTTGTGTGCTTTGATGTTTTATTTATTGCTTACGAGTACTTATGTTTGGAATTAGGTAACTTTTTGCATGTCGTAAGCCTCCTTGAGCATGGTTTGAAACTATGGAAAGGAGGCATACAAATAAAATTATGTATGTATGTATGTATGTACGTATGCATGCATGTAAAGTATCAGAACTATGATACTGCTTCATAAACAGTGCCTTCCAAAATTACATTACCTTCTTCATCCACAGACACAGTTCTTATTATGACAGGACTGGAGTATGCTGGCAACAGCAATGGTAAGTTGGATGGTACAGCATAACCGCAGGGCACAGGAACAGAATATCCACTTGGGAGGGTAGGGCTTATACTTCCATCCTGTGGGCTTGGCTCTGGTGACAATGATGGCTCCTTTTCTTGCACTGGCGAAATTGTTATGACAGAGTATGGGTTTACTCTTGGTGGGACCACCTCTGCTGTGCCGTCAGCTCCCGCCATTTTCTCGGCTCCATCCACATTTTCATTCCCTTGAATGAAAACCACACAAGTTGTTGTCAAAACGCAAATTCCCTTTCAGGAACCCTGATGCAATGCTCTTGCCCTTCAGATGAATCCTCAAAACCCTTCTTAAGGAGATAATTCTGCAGCAACCTCCAGAGACAAGTGTGCTGAGCAGACGAAGAATGGAAGAGAGCAACTCTAAACTGCAGCCTGCCAGATGGAAGATCAAACTTTTGGTTTGGGTTATAAATTATAGTGAGCACAAACTATGGTTTGGCATAGTGGTTTTGATTCAGTTTGACAGTTCTGGCCCCTGTAAAGCCATATTCAGCCAATGACCGTCTTCCTACAGCAGCCTTCCATGCCCAACCTGAGAGACTTTGGTGGAAGCCACAAGAGGGGACCTGAGCTTACTTGTGCTCCACCTTCTGTAAGATTATTGGTACTTTGGATGCAACCCAGTGCCTCTGCTGACAGAGAAACTCAACCAGCTTGTGAAGTAAATGATATAGCTACAGTGGGACCTCGGGTTAAGTACTTAATTCGTTCCGGAGGTCCGTACTTAACCTGAAACTGTTCTTAACCTGAAGCACCACTTTAGCTAATGGGGCCTCCTGCTGCTGCCGCGCCGCCGGAGCACAATTTCTGTTCTCATCCTGAAGCAAAGTTCTTAACCTGAAGCACTATTTCTGGGTTAGCGGAGTCTGTAACCTGAAGCGTATGTAACCTGAGGTACCACTGTATTATCTTGCATATGTTATATCAGGCAAACTTAAAGAGGAGTGGAAGAAGATGAAGCAATTTCTTCTTTTTATTTCCTAAGCAGCATATCTTTATCTTTTGATATCACCTTAGGCCGGCCTGCACAAGTGTTCATTCTGCATAGAAATGACTTGAGACTACACCCGCTGGCTCTGGTTCCATCACCACCCTTATGTAAACAGGACTCTACACCCATAAGGACTGAGTAGAATGTAGTGCTAAGGAGATCATTCCACCTGTGCAAGCATTTCAGAAGAACAGCACAATCTTCCTTCTCCTCCCACCATTTGCTGTTTTGAGGATTCTTCTGTCCCCCCCCCAAAAAAACCCTAATTTCGGGAGGGGGGAGGGAGGGGGGAAATGTCCCATTGAATTAGCAGTTCTTGCATGGGCTTCCACTAGCGGGACCCATTAGCTGAATCTGGTCCTTAGAAAGCCTGTGCGCAATCTGTGCGCTCTTCAAGCACACTTATTGCATGTCGCCTCTTATGTAAATGACACCTTGAAGCTATGAGCTCATGGAGAGTTGCCCATAGAAACTATCCCAATGTTCTTTCCATGTACTTATTTCTGTTTTGAATGAACGTTTGCAGTTCATTATTATGTTGAAAGAGGTCTCACATGCACTAAGTAAATAAATAAAGTATCAGCAATGCTCTCATGGCTTTATTAGGCATGGTCACACGTACCTGTAGAATTCACTTCTTCCTGTTCTGTGTTATTCTTCTTAGGCTCTAAATTCGATGGCAAAGCACTTTGCCTGTCTGCTTCTGGAATATCATCTCCACTATCAAAGTCAAACTGTTCTCCTTCCTCCTCCTCCTCTTCATCATCAACAGTGCCGGTTGTTAGTTCGTTTTCTAAAACTTAAAAAACAGACTTTATAAACAAAACAATGACCACGTCTAACTTAGGTAGACTAGACAGCTCTAGCTGCAGAGTCAAACAAGAAATATTGGACAAATGATTATTAAAAGACAATACAACTCCGGGACACGGTTATGGTGACTTCATCCTTCTATAAATATACTGCTGAACTTCTAGCTAACAGTGAAACATTGTCTGGAAATAAATTACAGGAAGTGTACGGAGATGTTTTAATTGCCATAATGCCCAAAGGAAGAAAAGATCCAATGTCACTATCATGATAAAGATCAATTTCACTTTTTGACAATGGTTATACAATTTTTAACAGTAGTTTAGCAAAGCTTTTGAATATGATCGTACAGTGGTGCCTCGCAAGATGAAATTAATTCGTTCCGCAAGTTTTTTCTTCTTGCGAGTTTTTCGTCTTGCGAAGCACGGTTTCCCATAGGAATGCATTGAAAATCAATCAATGCATTCCTATGGAAACCGCCTTCAGACCAGGTCCGGGGACAGTCTGTCCCCCGACCTCTTCTGGAGGCTGGGGGGGGGACAAGGGCATTTCTTCCCACCACCAGCCTTCAGAAGGCTGTTCTGAAGGCTGGTGGTGGGAAGAAAAGCCCTTCTCCCCACCTCCCACCCCACAAGCTCTGGGGACAGGAGGGCTTTGCTGCCGACCGCCAGCATTTTAAAAGCCCCCGGGACAGCGGGGCGATTTTAAAATACTGGTGGGCGGCAGCGAAGCCTCCGCTGTCCCGGGGCGATTTTAAAATGCTGGCGGGTGGCAGCGAAGCCTCCCCTGTCCCAGGGCGATTTTAAAATGCTGGCGGGTGGCAGCAAAGATCACCCGGGACAGCGGAGAAGTCTCCACTGTCCCGGGGGCTTTTAAAATGCTGGGGGTCGGCAGCGAAGGCTTCGCTGCCGCCCGCCAGCATTTTAAGATCGCCCCGGGACAGCGGAGAAGTCCAGTACCTCTTCTGAAGGCCGGCAGGGGGCAAAAGTCTTTGCTCCCGACCGCCAGCATTTTAAAAGAGGTCCCCGGAGATTTCCCTATGGGCTTTCTTCTTGCAAAGCAAGCCCATAGGGAAATTCGTCTTGCGGAACGACTCAAAAACGGAAAACTCTTTCGTCTTGTGAGTTTTTCGTTTTGCGAGGCGTTCGTCTTGCGAGGCACCACTGTATATAGATATTATCATTAGTGTGGTATTCATCTAAGTTTTCCCCCGAGTAGACCCCCTGAAATCAATTAGTAACATGAGTAAGTGAGGTCAATGAGTAGTGGGTCTGCTCTGAATAATACTTGAATTATCACCCTAGTTTTGTGTTGTTGTTTCAAGTGGTTCATGGTGGGGAAAGTTTGGAAAGCATTGTATGTAATCATACTTGTGGACTAAACAAAGAATTTTTTAACATCTCAGCTGGTAGTGGTGGTAGCTCTGCTACCAAGTTCCACACAAATACACATCTCATAGGACTGCTTTGTACTTCACCAAAGCCCAACATCTTAGGAGAAGAACAGAAGATAAACATACTATCAAAACTTTGGGTTCTGTCATTCATCAATGCTAGTGTTGTCTTCAGTGTTTCAAAGTGTTTCTTAAGTTTGTCAAAAGCAATCCTTTCAGCTCTCTCTTCTTCTGAACCTTGACAAAAAAAATCTATTTTCTTTCCTTCAAAAACTTCCATGTAAATATTTTCCTTTGGGAAGTGGAGGAAACCAGGCATCTATTTAGAAACAACATTATTTAACTTGAAGGTAAGAAGAGGTCAAGGGAAACCCACATAAATCTTAGAAAATCTAATTATTATGTAAGATTTTCTCAGACACTCTACCAGCTTGGACACGCTCTGAAAAATTCCTCTACAAAAATTCACACTACTCAACTGTTCTGACTGTCAAAGCAATAAGCTTTCTTGCTATATATTCTGTTTCCTGAACCACGTTGACTCAGCATGCCTGTTAGTGACACCTCTAACGCACTGTAAGGAAGGAAGGTCAATATTTTTCCACTTAAAAACTAAAATAATATTCATTATCTAGCTGGTGTGACATGTTAAATGGCTAAGTTTTGTGTGCACCATTTAAAAGCTCCTTCTTTCACTTGTCTCTGAACACAAAGCTAAATATCCTATCATTCACATCCTAAGGGGTTGAGGCGACAACCACAGAAGCTCAAAAGCAAAAGTTGCTGTTGACAGGAATGCTCATACGCTGTAACAGAGCTGAGCAAACCAGCATCAAGAGACCACCAAGGAGAAGTGTTACAAGCTCTCAAGCAAATATAGAAATTCTCTGCTGCTTGCACAAGATACGTTATCTTTGTTCACTCTTCCCAAAATACTTTACACTGAGAGCCTCACACCCGGCACTGCTTGGTAATTCTAAGAAAGAAAGAAAATCAGTGCAGTTTCGAAAGGTTCCATCAACCATCTTAATTCAACTTAAGGTCCAATCGTATAACAGCAGAGACAAAAACCTGCTCCATTATCTCAGGAACAAACCTGCAAAAGTCTAATCCTGTGAAATAAGCTAAGGCAGATACTGGGGACTTCAACACTCATGCAACTCTTTGACAGCTTTTCTGTGGGAGGTTTACCCATCTATTCATGTATTAACATGCAAGCTAATTCAAAATTCTTCAGCAATGGTTGAAGGCCCTGCCCATTATACCATTGGCTCAAATTTCTGAATGCAGGCACAATTGAGTAATGCAGTAACAAGGTATGTCTTGTGGTACTGGTTCCTTATTTTCAAGGGCCCGTGGGCAAGGGGCCCCCTCCCCCTATGAGTCCACCTTTTCACTATGTATTAAGATAATCACCGCCACTGCTCTTCACCATTTCCCTGCAGCAAATGTCCACTATGCAGACCCTTGATGCCAGCTCTGTTTCCACAACAGAGAGAGTAATACCAAGCCCCTTTCTGAAGAAAGCTCACTCAAAGTCATTCAGACCACTGGAGAAAGTGTTGAACTAGCAGTTATCTTCAGAAATGGCAACAAGCACACAGAGCAATTAAGAAAGCAGTGTGTGGCGTTTGCCCTCCTAGGTGTGTGACATCATACTAGGTTCATAAGGAAAGGGTTACCTAATTGTAAAATGACTAACTAATGGGAACCCAAGGGGCAGAGTTAACTGTATATAAGGTTTAAGCACAGAGGTGGTGTTGTTTTTTTGAGGGAGTTAGAGTTAGGTTGGTTGAGAAGACAGTCTGGAGTTAGAAGAGATAGAGAAGATAAGTCTGTGGGTTGGGCTAGTCTGGTGTGAGAGAGGGAGAGAATTTGTTAAGAGGAGTCAGTCAACCAGTTGAGATAATCAGTCAGAAGGTATTAGGAAGGTCTGTGGGTAAAAGCCTCAGCGCCTAGGGCTTGCCGATTGAAAGGTCGGCGGTTCGAATCCTCGCGGCGGGGTGCGCTCCCGTTGCTCGGTCCCAGCGCCTGCCAACCTAGCAGTTCGAAAGCACCCCCGGGTGCAAGTAGATAAATAGGGACCGCTTACTGGCGGGAAGGTAAACAGCGTTTCCGTGTGCTGCGCTGGCTTGCCAGATGCAGCTTTGTCACGCTGGCCACGTGACCTGGAAGTGTCTCCGGACAGCGCTGGCCCCCGGCCTCTTAAGTGAGATGGGCACACAACCCTAGAGTCTGTCATGACTGGCCCGTATGGGCAGGGGTACCTTTACCTTTTTTTAGGCCGGTAAAGAAAATAAAGTTAAGGTGCTGACAGGAATATTATCTGAGAAGCCATAAACTTGTTAATGTTTGTAAAATAAACTTCTTCCTTTTTTTGTTCACTTTTAGCAACTGTCTGGACTCAGTGTTTTACCAGAGAGTAACGGATTGGTGGCAGCAGGGAAGCGAGCACAGTGGTGGCACAGGGATCAAGAGACCGTTAAACGTCCGGGGACCCTGTGTGATCGCCACACAGTGGTCCCAAAATGGTGTTCTCAAACTAGTGATCCTGAGTTCTTGCCACTGTACTGTTAGTCTTTTTTAAAAAATTAATAAATGAAGAGACGGAATACACCCTAATCACATAACCAGCCAGCATATTTGGCATCATGAATCTTCAGCTATTCTCCTGCTCTGGCCACAAAGGAGAAATTGGAGCATTAAGAAGGCAGCAAGAGTGAAGTGCTCTGTCGCACAGAAGGAAAGTCGCTCACTCTTTCTCTTGCTGAACACATCCCATTGGCTCTGCAATACTTTGGACTGAATCCTAGGGCTTTATAAGGATTTCTCAGAAGCATTACATTCAGAAAGACATTCAAGCAGCAGAACAGGCCTCAGACCATGAAAGCAGTGCGGCCATTATTTTTCCTCACAGCCACAGAAACGAAGTCTACAGAAATCTCATTGTCGTCTCTCCCCCATATCACATTTATCATTCGTGAGTAATTTTGTGCGTGACCTCATTTAAAAAGATGAAGCTTTGTTGCACCAAAGCAGCTTTTACCAAGCACAAGTAGCAACAGCAAATTTTGTGCCAACTCAATGAGAACTTTATGCGAAAACTGTCCTTAATTTTACCAGGCCAATTTACATCCTTCACGCCTGCTATTGTTGGAATCTGTCTGTTCCAAAAGACAATGGAGTGCACCTCTGTGGGTGAAGTCAAACTACTACATTAGCAGCAATGAAATGACCCCTTTGGGCGCAAGCTTGGACAGTGTTTCACGCTTAATCCAAACAATATTCACTGCCCTGTTTGTTTTATCCATTTTCTCTGTCTTTTTCTCTGTCTGGGCCATGCTTATGTTTCCTTTGGTTTCCTTCCCAATGTGGTTAAGCCTGAAGGTGTCACTTGTCAGTAGCTTGTTATCTTTTATAATCACGGCTGGCTGATAAAAGGGGAATTACACGAGTCAATATTGTTATGAATGGATTACATCCAGATTGTAGAAATAACCTGGAGAAGATGTCAAGGTCTAGTACAAACCTTGTCCTTGTTTTAAGGGCAAATAGATTCTAGTGAAGAAACTTTTGTCAGACTTATGACACAGAGGAGGGATCAAAATTCCCTTCCACCCAAAACCACAAGGCAGACTTTTTAAAATGTGCACACTCAAACACAAATGTGAAAGGGCATTTTAATGTAATGTACAGTTTGGAGACATGTAGTTTTATGAACAAATTGCAATGCAATTATCTACGAAGGGAAAAAAAGTTTTCCATTCTCCTCTCTGTTATAAAGGACTAATTTTAAATACAGTATTGATTATTTACTTTCAACAGATTTATTTTTCCTGGTTGTTGCTTTTCTAAAAGGAAAGCCACAGGATCTGTCTCACTTTCTCTTCTGAAAGGCATCGCTCTATTTCAGACACCAAACAAGCTATTAACAGCTTCCCAAACAAGAGTCTATTGATAATTACAATTCAGATGCTGTTCTCATTCATCTCAAACCTTGGCTCCATTTTTATCATCCTTTGTAACCATCCTGTCTGTATGCTCAAACAGGCATTTCTCACAAAACAAATCCAGCACAGACAACTCATTTTACTGTGTCTGCTCACTTTAGGCAATATTCTTACAACTTTCAAAACAAAGCTAGTCATGCAAACCTCTGCTCCTAGATGACACAAACGAAAATTTGCAAGTGCAGTCACCTTCTGATATACAGATTATATTATTATTATTATTATTATTATTATTATTATTATTATTATTATTATAATATTTATTTCACTTGTTAATCACTTAATCCAAAAGGCGAAAGTCTAAGCAACTTACAAATATTAAGAGCCAAAGCAGAACATAAAAACAGACCACACATTACAATAAGAACAAGGCACATTCTACAGATACATTGTATATTAATGAGCTGTGGAAAAAAACATTAAAGAGGTCTTTGTGTATCTTTCTTAAAATTATGTTTAATTAAACAGTAACTAACACATTTATACAGAACATCTCTCCCTCCATCTCTCCTACCCAATACCACCCCTTTAAAAAAAAAGCCAGTGTAACTTTTCAGGTTTCCTGGACTGTTTGCCCTAAAACTACAATCTAGCGCAGTGCTATGCATTATACTTTAAAGAACCATGACTGCAGCTGTACCTCTGTTGGATGTTGCAGTAGCAACAGTTGCTATCACTAGAGAATCAAAGCTGCTTTGTAAAAAAAGAAGAAGGGGGAAGCAGTGACTTATCAGTATGGCCGTGGAAACTGTTCTCTGGCTTGTACATATGGTTCTGCTTGGTGCACACAATATTGTTTCTTTTCAATCGTGCCCTTTGTCTTCTTGCTTCTGAGCACTCGTGTTTTGATTACACTTGCACAAACAAGAAAGTCAGAGCCTCTCTCTTTCACGTTTAGGAAACTGGAAGCTAGGAGTCTCAGAATCTTATTGCATCCCGATTCCTGCATCTCTCCAAGGAAGTCAGAGAGGTGCATATCTTCACAGTTATTCTGGGAGGTAAGTAATCTAGTATGCTTCATTCCTACACCCTTGAAGTGGCTAGCGACTTCAAGACAATGAAACATCTAATTAACACAGTGTTATAAAGGTAAAGGTAAAAGGACCCCTGACCATTAGGTCCAGTTGTGACCGACTCTGGGGTTGCGGCGCTAATCTCGCTTTATTGGCTGAGGGAGCCGGCGTACAGCTTCCGGGTCATGTGGCCAGCAGGACTAAGCTGCTTCTGGCGAACCAGAGCAGCACACGGAAACACCGTTTACCTTCCCGCCGGAGCGGTACCTATTTATCTACTTGCACTTTGACGTGCTTTCCAACTGCTAAGTGGGCAGGAGCTGGGACTGAGCAACGGGAGCTCACCCCATTGTGGGGATTCGAACCGCCAACCTTCTGATCGGCAACTCCTAGGCTCTGTGGTTTAACCCACAGCGCCACTAATTGTGCACCACCTCAATATTTTTAAATGAGTTGACTGTTTACAAATATTCTGATAATTTTTTTAAAAAAAATGTTTCACCTAATTCTGCATCTATCACACATGTGTATTCCTTTCTCTGGTTCCCTCTCAGCGCATATGTTTGAACCGCAATACCCTAAGTAATCAGTATGAACAGGTGTGACTGCAAAATATCAACTCCATTTCAGAAAATAGGTTCGCTGCATTCTTGTCATCACAAAACTGCACATTCATATACGTAACCTTTCGGCATTTAGCGCGCGCACATACACACCCAATCCCCTGTTACATTCCATAACAGGAACTGAATTCCAAGCACAGCATAATTCATAACAAATGGGGAAACCATTTTAGAAGAAGTGCTTCAACTCTAAAGGCTGGCGTCAGTGAAGGAAGTCACTTGGTGGAATCTCATCATATTCAAAACACATGCTATGAGCAGGCCCTTATGCCTATGCATTCATTGAGGGGATTGTGCAGGAGAAAGTTAATGCAGGTGAAAATGTGAAAAGAACAGGCAGGCACGCAATCAGTTCAAGCAGATGGCTTTTAAAATACAACGCAAACATTGTGATTTTCTCTCTTTCTTTTTACCTTCAGGTGGTGGCGGCGGAGGGAATCCTTCTGTGTCCATGCTCTTGTGTACTCTCTCTATTGTGGTTCCTTCTGAAAACACACAATAAATGATCCTGCAGAAAAACATTTTTAAAAGAACAAACAAACAAACAAACAGGTATTAATATTATTGAAATTTCCTGGGTTTTTTCTATTTGCATTACATTTTTTTTATATAATAATATTTATTAAAGTTTCAAACAAGATTACAAAAATACGGGAAAAAAGCAAAAATAAAAACAAATCAGTATTTCCATAACTTATCTTTCGTTCACTTGTTTCCCGGACCTCCTCACACCTCCCTTTTTTGTATCCCAAATCAGTTAATTAATTCAGCAAATCCTTTCCCTCTTTGTTCTTATGTTGATCCTTTTTCTTGTTTGTCAGATGCAACACAGCGGTTCTCAACCTGTCGGTCCCCAGATGTTGTTGGACTACAACTCCCATCATCCCATCATCCCTGACCACTGATCATGCTGGCTAGGAATGATGGGACTTGTAGTCCAAAAACAGCTGGGGACCCACAGGTTGAGAAACACTGAGCTAACACAAAGATCTGTACTCTAAGCGGCTGAAGTTGAGCAAGGGATTCCAGCTCTCCTGCCTCAATATTACCAGATAGGAAGAGTTTCATAGTGCAGGTACAAGTTGGCTGCAGTTGCTGGGAGACCTCCAGTTGTTTATACTGGCATAGATGTTACTGAATGGCGCCACTTGCTAGAGGCCTCTGCACAACTGCAGCATGGTAGTGCCCGATACCATTGGACAACTCCACCTCAGCTTGTTGCCAACCACTCACCATCAGCACTGAACCCTCCCCTTAACCCTCCATGTGCAGAGAATGGCTATGGCTTACATGCAATTAAGAGAATGTGATCTGCACATTTTAGCAAATGCAGCTCTTTCTCTCTCCCTAAAAAAAGAGGGGACTCACAAGTACCAAACGTCTACCATAAGTCTATAGTTCGCTTGCTCTGCATTTGCATGTTCTTTTAGTAGTAAAGTCCTTTTAATGGTGCAGCTTGCTACCAGACCGTTTTCAATTATAAACAAGACGACTGGGCAAGTCTTCAATTATTTCTCTCCAAGTTCCTTGTAGGGAGAAGACCAGAGCATACAAGAACCCTTCAGAGTAGCATCAACGCTTCTTTCATTACTTTGCCAAAAAAGCTCTTTCTGACTGTGTGTGCTAAGAATCACATATGTGAATAGGACGTAAGAAAAAGAACCTCCCTTTCAAAGCAAGTCATACAGCATGATGCAACATTAAAACAGGCCACTTCACATACTATTTTCATGTAGGGAAAAAGTATGCACAGTGAAGTCTGTTTTGGTGTATTTATGTTCACGTCAGGAAGCCATAATGGCTTTCTACAGCTTCCTGCTTACATGTACAGATGGCATTTCAGATTCATGTGTTTGATCTTTGCGCATTAACACAAGCAATGTTAAACCACAGTTAAGGCAAGTAAGCCAACAATAAACCATGGCTTATTTTTGCTAAAACCATAGTTAATAAACCATGGTTAAGTCACTGGCCTGGGTTCACATGCAACACTAAATCTTGATTTATTATTAACTAAGGGTTTATTTAAACCATGATTTAATGTTACATGAAAAGCAGGTCTATGTGTACACAGATTATCCTACTAAGCAGTGACCATCTTGTGGGGAGAAGTATTATGTGTACATAATTCTTATGCAACAATGCAACTCGCTGAAGTGTTGATGTCTTTAGAAGACATCTGAAGGCAGCCCTGTATCAGGAGGTTTTTAACACTTGATGTTCTTATTATATTTTTAGATATGCTGTAAGCCGCCCAGAGTAGCTGGGGAAACCCAGCCAGATGGGCGAGGTATAAATATTAAAATCATTATTGATTATTATTATTAAGATCTAATGAGCAACTCTGTTTTACTTTTGCATTTGCACCACAGATGGCTCATATTAAATGTTTTCCTTTTGACTATTATTTCTTTCTAATAGGATATGCACAGCTGAAGTTCACAGCGGAGGTATTTTTTTATTAAACATCTTCAAAGTTGAATACATTGAAAATAAAGAACCACTTGTTCCATATTGCAGGGGTGTTCAGATGCCTCTCTGCAAAGGCAGACAATGAGTTCCATCCAACCGCACTAATTTTTGCAACACTCTTACAAATCTGGAGAGAAAAGTGCTGAGTCGCCAGTTTCTTTTTTAAAGTTGCATAAAATGGCACAGTGGCTCGTGTGGTTTGATACTGCGCCGGCAATACACATTACAGCGGGACCTCGGGTTAAGAACTTAATTCTTTCCAGAGGTCCGTTCTTAACCTGAAACTGTTCTTAACCTGAGGTACCACTTTAGCTAATGGGACCTCCCTCTGCTGCCAAGCCACCGCCACAAGATTTCTGTTCTCGTCCTGAAGCAAAGTTCTTAACCCGAGGTACTATTTCTGGGTTAGCGGAGTCTGTAACCTGAAGTGTCTGTAACCTGAAGCGTCTGTAACCTGAGGTACCACTGTACAAGCATCCTACAGATGCAACAAAATCAGGAGGGAGGCAGCATGTGTGAATGCTACTCTGTAGGAAACGTATTTACTGGGGACAAAGCCCCACTTACCTGTATAGCACTGTAAATATGCTTAAGATCATGATGTTAAATTCTTCAGATTCTATTCCATTTGCTAATCCTCAAATCTCGGTCACTTGCTTGTCTACATTCCGTCTATCTGGCTGGCTGCTACTGTGGGAATTCATTGGGTCCCCCCCCCTCCATCTTTCCCACATATCATGCCATGATCCTTTATTAATGCTGCAATCTTATCCAGTGGTACCTCTGGTTATGCACGCTTCTGGTTACGCACGCTTCGGATAACGAGCTCCGCTAATCCGGAAGTAGTCGCGCACTTTGCCCCAGGATGCAAGCGGAAGTTGCGTGCCGGAGGTGCCATTAGCAAAAGGCTAATGTTCAGGATAAGAACGATTTCAGCTTAAGAACGGACCTCCGGAATGAATTAAGTTCGTAACCAGAGGCACCACTGTACACACTTACCTGGGAATAAGTTCCACTTCACATATAAGGAGATGTGTTAAGGGTTTAATAATATTTATTTCTTTTAAGCATATTTTTTTTAATCACTTAATTTAAAAAGGGATCTAAAGCAATCTATATAAAACTGCACACATCCTTTTTCCTCCTTGCCTTCCATTGTGTGCCTTGCCGGTTGAAATTTCTGTGGCATCTTTTTATCCTACCAGGCACAGCTTTCTAGCCGTCAAAGTCCTATGGCGCAGCACATGCACCATTTTCAGTTGCTTCAAATTTCTTCCATTCCATCTCCTTACCCTATTTTACAGATTCTGCTTCTGCTCTTTAAGGTACCTATAGGCCAACAGGATGGGGTATTGTTTACAGGTTGGTGCTAATGTCAATGTCTAGTTTTGAAGATCCATAACTTTTTGCTGTTATTTTGATTACGTTCTTGCATTTTTATTGATAGATCATGTAATGAATTATAAGTGGGCTGTTTAATTTTATTATAAAGTGATTAATATGAGATGCTTGAATTACCCTATTGATCTATTTAAATTCTGTTGCAAACTTACATAAACTTTTTTGATGTTGTGAACTGTTTTGAGCATGGTTTACCATGGAAAAGCACCATGCTGTTCAAATAAAGATGGCAGCACAATTATTTCAATAGTTACATGCTAGAAACAAAACTGCTGCATTTTAATGATTATACAATGTCTAGTGCAATTTTAAGACAAACCTATGAATATATATCTATTTTACACAAATTGCATGACTGCTTTAGATGGATCTGGGCACTTCAAATCCACTTTAAAAAATACAGCAATTGAAGGAGTTCCTGTTATGAAAAATATCCTAACTATCCCATCCATAATATGGCAAGTAAATGATATGAACTCAGCCATTTCATAGTTCATACTACATTAGACTTGAATCTTATACTTATATCTGTTACCACCTGAACTTCAGCGTATGCCAATTATAATGGACATTGCTATATTTCTGCTAAGGTTTTTCTATTTATTACAAATTGCTCATGAAAAATCTTTCATCACTCTAGAAAATAGTTCATAGGCTCTTTTTTCCTACCATAGCTAAGAAACAGAAAGCAGAACATAACCTTGAACGTTACCATAATACCCAGATGTTTGCCTCAAGAAGCAAACGCTTTGTTGTTGTTGTTGTTTAGTCGTTTAACACAGAACCTCTGTTCTATGGAAGACAGTGTTGCTTGTGCAGTCACCCTAGGTTCAAACCACTGTGTCGAAACTACTCACTGCTTCCCAAAGCCTTTATCGATGCTACGAAGGATAAAGCATTATGCTAATATACAGACATTTCTGTGGCTGCGTACTTCAACTTTGCATTATTCACATTTGTTCATTCTATAAAGGCAAGTATTTCTTACAAATCCCCAAGAATACGTTGAATAAGGCTGTTGTCCTATACAGGGCCAACATGAGAATAAATCCTGCTGAAGTCAATAGGAATTGTTTTCAAGATGACATGCACTGGCAGGCATGCTACAAGCCCACACATGGTTTAAGTCAGCTTTGTTTTAAATAAGCTCTTTTTTTAAAAAAACAACAACAATAAAATGGGGAAACCTACAGTGGTTGACATAGTCATTCAATTTAATACTTTCCAGTATTATTTTGTTGTGCTGATTTGACCGTTCCATCAGTGCAAACATTCCTGCTTGCCAGACAGGATGATGGAATGGTCAAATTAGCAACCCCCCATGTGTTATTCTGGGGGTTCTCCCAACCTCCTAGAGCAGATTTAGGTGAAGTGGGGGGGTACATGGGGGGGGAGAAGGGACTGTCTCATTGAACTAGCATGAGTTATTTTGGTAGCTGCTGTTAGCAAAGCAGGTTAACAAAATCCAACTCTATGCTTCAATCTGTTTCTTGCTACTCAAACACTGCTGTTACATTGATCCGGTGTGAACTGATCAAGCATCCTTGTTAATGTGCACAGCACAGACTGTGAAATCCCCAGTTCAGTCGCAACATCCCCACCACATAAACACAAGATTACCGTTTACTTATTTGA